CCGGCGATGACTCACCCTTCGATGACTCATCGACTCATTACTCCAGAGCCGCATTTGAAGGAATGTCGTTCGATATACCTCTGTAACCACTCCGCACAGCGGTGATCGGCCGCTACTATATCACAGACAGAGCGGAGAAAGTCTCGCCTGTCTGTCTGTCTGTCTGTTTGTCTGTCTGTCTGTCTGTCTGTCTGTCTGTCTGTCTGTCTGTCTGTCTGTCTGTCCACCGTTTTGCGGCGCCACAGATATTTCGTGAAATGAAGGGAGGAGCAGAGGGGACAGGCAGTGTGAAATATGATTTGTGGCGAGTGTGAGACAACCTGCGGCGAGTGTGAGATGATTTGTGATGATTGTTGGATGATTTGTGGTGATTTCGAGTGCTCACGGATGGGACGTGTTCTGGACAATGGGAATGTCAAGAAGCGCTTAACATTGGTGAAAGGCGTGGGATTGGGAAGGCGCGAATGGAAACGAGGAGTGATCTGATTACTGATCACGCGCACAGTGACCGAAAGCAAAGGAGCTGGACAAAAATGGAGTGCAGACTGTAGAAGTGCAGAAGTGCAGAGTACTGTGTCAATCAAATCGAATTTAAAATGTGTCTTCTCGTCTGTCTTGTGCTTATTCTTAAGAAGACTGAATATGCTTGTGCTTAAACCCTGAGGGTTGTTTGTTTTTAGCTGTCATGTTTGACGAATCGTGTTCAGGCTCATTGTTCACGCATGTAATGATGTTGCAAATGCTTGTTGTAAATAGAACTGTCAACAAAGTACTATAAACTAAGCAAATGGACCATTTCCAGTTAAGGAAATTTCGTATGCGTCACACACGTAGAATTAACCACAGTACTGAAGGAAAAGTCATGTTGTTAGAGATGATGAGTGAAGAGCATCGGCAAAATTGCCAATGTTATCAATATTTAATCAGTACCATGAGTAAATAGCTGAGCAGCGCTCTGCCCTACCCTGGCCACGCACCATTACTGAGATATTTCCGCTCTGATGGCCACAAATCACACTCCCTCCCCTGACCACCGGCCGCCCCGCGCCCCTATGAACCGACCCCGTGGCGGGTGGCGGTACCGCGCGGGGGGATGGCTCGAGTCGGGACGGCCGTCTGCACACTGCACTGCCGGGGGTCTGTGAGGGAAGAACAACCGCCTCTGGCAGTGACACACCAACATTGATGCAAATTATGCAGTGTGTGAGTCATCTTATCAATCGTAAGAAAATGCTGCATGTGCTTTAGCAGGTTTTGTGTTTTGAGCTGTCTTTGTTCGTTGAAAACTTGCTATTTTTGAGAGGTAGCTTGCACCATGACCCACAATTTACTGACCAGATACTGAGAGCTTTGTGTGGCAAAAAAAAAAATGGCGTATATAATGATGAGTGCAATAGGCATAGCCTTCAGCGCACTTGGCCCCTTGATTTATTCTAAAGCGAACGAAGGTAGTTCAATATACCCTGAACGAAGGTAGATTTCCATGTGCAGCATACTCACATGCAATATTTCCATGACTGTGTGAAAGCTTCACAATTTCACGCGCTGCATACCTACTTGACCACCAAAAATTAAGGCAGACTTGAGCCTACAGAGCATCAAGAGAGCCCCACATGTGCGTAAAAAGTATGCAGCTTTCTGCGGTGAAACTCTCTTTGTGGTCACTCATCACGCCGGAGCAGTGAGTTAAAATCTGCATATTTAGCTCTGAGCGCAGCTGTTGCTGGTTTCTGCAGCGCTCCCCAGCTGTCCCCTCCCTCCCTCTCTCCTTCTCCCCTGCTCTCTCCTCTGGGACCGTCTGCCGGCGGCTGCGAGTCGGTCCCGGTGCCAGGCCGCGTGGAAAGCCGCATCACTGGACTTTTGGCGAGTCATGTGGGCTGGGCATGCTGGAGTCATACATTGAGTCATGTTCGGAGTCATGCGACGATATTTTTGGTAACAAAATAATTTTAACATTTCTTGTGATCAAATTCATTTTTGAGTAGTTTGCATGTGTTTGCTTCAGTGTCTATATGTATGAATGAAATTTGAAGTAACAAGAGCAACATTTTAGAATGAATGAAATGAACTTATCGATCGAGTAAATAGCCACTCTTGCTTTGAAACGTCATCTAGTTTCAGCGAATACATTATCTCACACATTTACCGATTATAGGCAAACATTTTTGAAATAGTCCCATGAACTGCACGGTATATACCATTGATGACTGGTCGGAATGGATGACTCGGTGGCTCTGTTGGCAGCATTCGGTCAGTCGAGTCATGGGAGTTCAGTCCTCGTCTGTTCCGTCCGACACTGGTCCAGGCAGACAGAGGGCGCGGTTTGTGGGAAAGGAGTTATGAACGTGTGGTTATGAGGGAGGGAGGGAGGGGTGAGAGGGAGGGAGGGTAGAGAGGGGGACGGAGCAGCTAGGATGTTGCAGAGGAGAGGGAAAACTGATGTGAAATATATGCAAAATGGTCTGGGAAATCCAGACAAAATTGATGACCCTCAAGGTCGGCGCTATTTAGTTCGAAGATGTCGACCTCAGCGTGAAAAGCGTTTGTATAAGGCAAACAGTGTAGTTTTTCTAAGTGAAAGCTTTTCTATATCACTGACCAGTTTTGCAATTCGTTTTGTGATCTGGTAGCGCTGCATTGAAAAAAAAAACACCAGCCGACATCCGGGGAAATGCAACTAGCATCCACGGTCCGACTCGTTAGTCGCCAGGTGGAAGACGGAGTCGAGGGAAGACAGATGTTTGTTCAAACTCTTTCTTACTCCATCTGCCGGGGTCCGGTGCAGTACCGATCTTGCAAGATTGGGTCAACATCAACCACTTCTCTTTGCGCCAGATGGCTCTTGGTGAAAATTCTTACGATGCCTATATTTGAGATCATGTCCAAGGATGAGTGAAGCCCCTCTCACCACCTCACCAAATCGACCTTCTTAGTCGCCCGGTGTGCCCCTTCAAACATCGCTAGGCTTCTGGATAAACACTCCAAAGCAGCAGCTCTGGTGCGAGGGTGCGTTCTTGGCAGAGGCCACACCTCAACCCTGCTGACGGGGTGCCAGGGGCGGGTACAGGCAGCAGATTATTGGGACTTTTCCACACACAAAACTCGAACGGTTAAATGATACAAAATGTACAGCCCACCGCTAAAGTAATGTGCGGTTTTTTCAATCTCAACGGATGGCTTTGACCTGCGATTTTTCAATGCAGGGTGATCGAAAAGAAGACGTCAATAGACAAAGTTGCAGCTGCGAGGGTGACAATACATGTAAGCTGCATGCAAAGTTTCATTTTAGTCTGGCTAATCGTTCCTAAGCTTCAGAAGCAGAACATACCCATGACTGAAACCGCACATTACTTCTGCTGTAGACTGTACCTACTCATGACATTTGTGTGTGTGTGTGTGTGTTTTTTTTAATGGCTATCAATGAATTCCTTATCGTTGCTGCAGCCCCTGAAGCTTTTACCTGGAGCCGCCCATGCGGGCGTTGACAGCTGGCTGGAGGCTCCCCCCCCCTCCGCCTGACCCCTGACCTCAGGTATTGTGTCTGCGTCGGACGCCGGCCGTCAAAGGTCAGGGGTCAGCTGTCAGCTGAGTGACCTGAACAGCCCCAGCGCTCAACGCGGGGAGCAGGGGACTGGGAACGGGACTGGGAGCCGGAGTCTATGCATCAACTGGATAGACACAGCAGGCCTTCACTATTCACGCTGATTGCGGACACCCCACTCTGAGATAAGCAAGACGTGGATTCCGTGGTCACGGATTTTTTTTTTTTTTTTTGAAATCGTGTTTTACACTCTACATTAGTCCATTATTCAGAAGCTATGAATTCATATCTTTACATGAAGTCATGATTTCCAGATGTTTTTTGTTGTTTAGTGAAGATGGTGAAGATTCTTACAACTTACAACAACACATTCTTATGATAACAAGATTCTTACCGGACAACACATTCTGACAACAGATAAAGCCGTTCGAAAGATGGATAGTAGGCAACATATCCTGAATTTGCCGTGCTGCATGGGAAGTAGTGTTGATGAAAAAGGGGTTTTTGGTTCAGATTATTGTGGGTGCAGAATACATTGTCTGCACCCACTGGATAAATATTGTGGGTGCAGCTGCACCCTTGCACCCATGGTTCCTACGCTTATGGATAAAGGACAAGTCACCTCTGCAGTTGTTCTTCTTTTTGTTGATTTTCGAATTCCAATAGATATCGAAGCAAGCTGACCTCAGACTTTTATCTTTTTACATAAATAGCAATGAAAGCTGGCAAATGTTCCGTCCTTCCTTGGCTACAGGCATCATAGCATACCAACCGTATGTCAGTATGAGTCATCAAATGGTATTTCACATCGGAGTCTTTTACTGACGGCCACGCTTCCCATCGGTTTCGCGCCTCCAACGGACATACCAGTCGTGTTTTGCTTACTTTTTGTTTTTCTTTCCTCTTTGATCCACTTCATTTCACCAAAGAAAACTAAAAAATCCGATGACAGCCGCAGATAAGCTCTCTTGCGAACAGGATTTGAGAGTGTGACATTCCTAACTAAGCGGATAACCGGGTCAGATTTGGTCGCGGCATTCCGGTCATTCAGACAACCATTCCCAGAATAGCCCTTCAGGCCTCCTCCTTGTGAATCAGCGATCACCAAATACAAAAACAACGCCGATGTCCGGCGCCCTGACATGATCTGACTCTTTGATCGGAATCTGGGCGACTGGGTCACTGACCCCAGCGGCTCTATTTCCTCTCTCCACGGGGGTGTTTCTCTCCACCTTCCCGCGTGGGTGGTCCCGTGTCGCCGCCGCGGCCACCTCTGCTGAGAAGAATCCTCCCCAACCGCTCAAACACGGCTGGAAACTCGGCCGGCGGGCCGCGCGGTGACGTCACTGGATGACGTCACAGCAGGTGTCGGACCCGCCCCCCGGCTGACCGGCGCGGCTCCTGTCGCCCGGTGGGTGCCGGGCTTAGTCGGCGAGCGGCCGGGCGGGACGAGGGAGGTGTGAGGAGAGACCGTGGGTCTAGTGAGAAACGTGGTGTGAGTCGAGTGTGAGACGAATTCTCACAGAGGTGGTGTGAGAAGTGTGAATCAGTGCCTTAGAAGAAAGAGACCCGAGTGGGCTTGTTGACGAGCATAAGCACCGGCGAAAGTATATAAGTGGATTTTTCATGACACACCATAAAATTGGAAGTCGATATTTAAGTTTCCGCGAAGTGACTTCTAGTTGTAACTTGTGACTTGTGGAACCTGAGGTGGCCTGCCCTGACCTCCGTTGACCCTCGGTGACCTCTGGCGACGATTTGTGACCTGCGGTGATCTTTAGCGACTCCGGAGTACACCGGTGATTTGCAGGGATTCTTGCTACTCTCGTGACCTACGGTGACCTGAAGTGACCTCTGGTGACCTGTGGTGACCTCCGGTGACCTCCGTTGACCTCCGGCGATGTCCCAGAGTGTTGACCTCTGTGACCCGCGTCTGCGCCACCACGCGGCCTACTCGCTGTACCGGGACCTGTTGGGGGCCTACCAGGGTCGCGGCGCGGCCCTCGTGGAGAATGCGCCGCCCGGTAAAATGGTGACGACCGACAGCGGGGTCACCGCGCACATACTCAGCATCATGTGAGTGCCGGGATAAACATACTGTCAATTGTCAGGAGTGGTTAGTCAAGCGAATCAAACCAAGGATATCGGTTAGGGAATGCAACTCAATTATCTAACTGATACTGAATCTTTCAAAGATGTTCAGTTTGCGATAAAAATAAAAACATCTTTTCGGCTAGTCCTTCGAATATCTTTCCAACAGTATAAGACATGCTAGCGTGCGTTATTTGGGCAATGATTTGATAGCCTGTAGCATAGCTAACATGAAACCGTCAGCATTGATTCATGTTATCTATGCTTTCAGGTTTCAATTTTCTTTCGCAAACATACTTATCGCTACACCATATTAGCGACTGACACAACGTTTCATGTATCGGTACCTGTCTTTATACTTGGTGGGTGGTTTTATACGAATACTGCATGGGGGAGCGGGCAATAGCAAAAAATATTGCCCGATGTGACGTCACTGTCGCCCGAGGGTGAAGACCGAAACAAGTGCTATTGCCCGAGGCGAAGCCGAGGGCAATAGCACTTGTGGAGGTCTTCACCCGAGGGCGACAGTGACGTTACAGAGGGCAATATTTTTGCTATTGCCCGCTCCCGCATGCAGTATTCGTTTTATTACATGGCCAACTCTCGGAATCTTTACTTAGTACTCATTCATCCCGTAATAAAAAATATCCAAACACAAACATCATGGTACAATTGAATGTATTGGATATACAATCATAGCCACGTCACATGTCTACGGCACACACTTAGTTGCTTTACACGTTAAAGTTGAAGATGCAGCCTGTGAAGAGCTGGCCGCCGCCGGTCTGAGGCTCCACTGTTTCACGCCGTACTTGAGGAGACTCTTCGATTTGTAGCGTTCATCGTCCTTGCGTTTTACAGTAATGAAGAACTCCTTCACAGCGTTGTCCAGGACATCGTTGCTGTGCATGCAGCTTTCAACAGATATGCCTTTTACTTGCAAGAACTCAATGAAGACGTCTTCTGCTGATTTAATCACCTTTTTAGTGCCCTGAGCCCTGCGCGATGAAAATAGCTCATCCAATTCATGCGGCTCCAACAAGTTAAATCGGGGTATTTGAACGGACATGTTCAAATGACGGCCCAGTTCTTGATGACTTGACTAGCCAACCACGAAATCAAACTGAACAGTCTGAGAAAACGACGATAAAATTACGACATTTGAATTTTTGTTCAAACACCACTGCGCGAGCAACTTACTATTGACCGTTGACATGGCAACCGCTTCTCACCTTTAGAAAGGTCAGTAACCTGACACTGAAAGGTCAGTAACCTGATGCCGGGCAATAGTAAAAAATATCTCATGCCAAATTAACACAGGAGCCATGTAATAATATTATATATTACACCGCGAGTAGGTAGAACAAATATTTTAAACTTCGAGCCGATAGGCGAGACGTTTAAATGATTTTTCTACCTACGAGCGGTTTAATAATTTTATCCCGTACCGCTGATCCCTTTCGGGCGCTTAAAGGTAAAAAGTGCATTTTATTTCAAAATACGACACATTTCAGCAGAGCCAGAGACAAAGAGAAGCAGAGACAGATAAGCTTTGAAAAACGGTCCAGACAAAATGTGATCGATCTGGAATTGATCGGTTCATTGAAGCTCAAGTCGCAAATACAAATAAAAAGAAAAAGAAAATGATGTTTCATTACGTTTCCCTGCGCATACTGGTGAAAATAACGAGACAGTCAAATGGAAGAAATGTCTACTAAAGGCACCATAAAGAGTCCCAGGTATGATCCTCAAATGCGGGGAACCACATGTGACAGGGATCTGACTGGACCATCTGGCAGACACGGTGAACAGTGACTGTCTGGAGCTGTGCACAGTCGTAATGCCACTGACATCACCGTACCTACATATATCTGCCACGATAAGCTCCAGGTGTGTGCGTGCCGATCCCTCCTGCATGGAGCACATGTCTCCGTCATAAGCTGCTGAGCCTGACCGGAAGACAGACTCTCCTATCAGAGGACCATCCCCTGATGACACCTCAGACTGGTCCAAGCCAGGCTGTGACGTTGTCATATCTGCTCAGATCTGATCTGGGACGACGGGTTGATATCCGCACTGCCAGACACGGGGGATTATTTCATTAGAGGTGGAAACATTCACTGGGCTGGGTGTCGTTAACGCAGACTGCAGGGGCGGCAACAGGCTAGGAAACAAGCATTGTTACTATGGCTAGCCATATGCTTCCACCCTTGATTTGTCTATATTCAACATGTTTTATAGGTAGCGCCTCAACTCTCAAGCCAGACATATCTTGCGGAGAACAGGCATTGAACGTCACAAAAAAATAAAGAAAGTTATGCTTTTCAGTAGACAGCAACATAGGCGTAGGAACGTTTTCGAAAGTGGGGGGGCCAGGGTCCCAGAGGTCCAAAACCTAACCTACCCCCAAAGTCCGATTTCTCCTCGGATTTCGGCCACTTTGTTTTCGCAAACATGCTCAGAGGTTTAAAAAAATCGAGACAAAAAAAAAGAAAAAAATTGGTTGAAATTTCAGGGAGTCTCCCGTCCATAAACTCAAACTGATGGACGCGTTCCCCTGTCCTCCGCAGCCGTTGGCACCCATGCAAATTCCAGAGGCATCCAGCAACTTTTTCATTACGAGCAAGCGTGAAACGTGCAAAGCGAGTCTTTTCAATATACCTATAAAAATCAGCATGAACGGCCCAGCTAGGCTCAGCCAGGCCTATAACGTTTTTAAGAGGTTTTATATCAGCGACCACTGCAACTGGGCTGATTGACTATCACTTATCAGAGGCCGGTGTGGGACTTTTAGACGGTCTGGGCCTTCAGAGGCCAGTTTAACCCTCCACGGCCCGGTCCTATAGGTTTTCTACATACGCGCTGGCCGAGGGGGCGGGGGGCGGGTACGACCCCCCTCGCCGTTTCGCCCCAGGTGGAGCTAGCGCGTCGCGGTAAAACGAGCGTGTGCGCCGTTACGAGACGCAGAGATCGATACCCGATTTTATGGTCCTAGGTCAACCGGTGACCTCTGACACCGTTCCGTGCTTCTATCCTCAGGATACTGAAATCCTTCTCCTCCACACCGCAACCCCCTCCAGGCTGGACAGGCAACTTTATCTCATGCGGGCTGCTCCCTTGGAGCGGCACCGCTGCTCCCGAGGGAGCGCACCCTGTAGCCGGGTGCAGTGAGTGCCTTGGGGCTGGGTGGCCTGTCCTCTGGACGGGCTCAGCCCCGGCGACTCACTAGGGTGCCTGCCCAGACCAATGTCTCCCCCTATATCCTATCATCCTTCCGGCTCTGAAATGGTCTCATTGGACCGAAAGGGCCTAACCCAACAAAACAAACAAAAACCGGTGACCTCTGAGGTCAGGTCAAGTGCCTCAAGGCACGGTTCCGTTTTTGGTGAATAACTTCGCAAAAAATGGCCGCAGAGCCGCGATTTTGCCAGCATCGTGTTCGCCTCTCTCAGGCGCGTCGAATGATATACTTTTTGTTTGGGTGAGGTAAACTTAGGGTGTTGACCTCGGGTCACGGTCAGGTCGGCGTCCCCAGGTCACGAAATTGGTCGAAGGAGGTCATGTCGCATATCATTCGATTCGGCAGGTCTTCTTGAGTCCATAGGTGGCTTTCCCGACTCGCTAGCTCAATTTGATCGGTACCTAGTTATTGACGAAAAACTAATAAGACCCTTATAACTTCATAAATGACGTCGCGCAAGGTCAACATTGCAAAAGTGACGCATCGAACCTTGCAAGGAGTGCATGAAATCACGATTCGGTGTGCTTGAGATAGTTGGAGATCGATCGTTCCCGGCGCCAGGAAAAGTTTTCAGTTTATCCCCATTGACTTATACCTAATGGTGAGGTCACGAAAATGACCTGACCTCATATGAACTTTAGGAAAAATCCGAGATATAGTTACATTATACAAGTTGAGAGACTCCTATTGGATACTAGGTCCTCCAAGGTTCATTTCCCTGTGAAATCTCCTCTGGCAGTGAGGGCGTTGCGAAGTTGCGACATCTGAAGACCGTGCAGAGGTTCACTTATGGACCACATGGGTCAGTGACCTGATCTGACCCGAAAATGCGGTTGGTGTCAAAAGATCCCGTTTGATTCAAAGGTCAGGTATGCCAAGCTTCAGCTCTCTATCGCCGGCGTGTTCGGAGCTATCGCGAAAAAAAAACTATGGAGGGGCGGCACCCGCCCCCCCCCCCGGCCGGCGAGGGTTAAGGCCCTCAGAGACCAGTACAGGGCCTGCAAAGGGCAAGATGAGACCTTAAGATGCCGACTTGGGCCATCAGAGGCTAATGTGGGTCCTTACAGGTCAGCATGGGCCCTTAGAGGTCAGTGTGGGGCCCTAAAAGACCGGCATGGGCCGGCGTTGGACCCCTAGGCCAAGGTGGACCCTCAGAGGCCGATGCGGACCCTTAGAGGCCGGCATCGGGTCTTCAGAATTCAGTGCGGGGCCCTCAAAGGCACCTAAAGGCACCTATATAGTCTTGGGACCCCAGAGACAGAAATGAGGCCACCAGAGGCCGGTGTGAGGCCCTCAGACGCCGGCTGGGCCCTTGAGGCCGGTTTAGGGGCCCTCAAATGAGGTCAATGTGGGTTCTCAGCGGTCAATGTGGGCGCTTGACCGCCACTGAAGGGCCCTCCGAGATCAGTGTAGGACCCTCAAAGACTGGTTTGGGAGCTGTTAATAGCTAGCGTGGGATTCTCGAGCCTCTTGACAATCGAATAAGGGCCAGAGCCCCATACGCCCATGGGGGCCCATTGGTTGTTTGGGGGGGCCAAATGATATGATGGCCCCCTGATTAGCCTTTGGAGGGGGAAGGGCATGGCCCTGATCCCCCTCTGCGACCGCCACTGCACTGAAAGTGGAAGGGGGAGGGGCAGAAACAGACATTGCTGGCCCCCAGCCTGTTTGAACCGAGGCTGAGGCACGGTCACCCTGGCCCCCAGCTTGTACGCCTTTGACGAACTATGCCGACCCCAAGCAG